TTTCTGCTTGAGCTGCTTGCTGATGCGCACTATGTCCAAGGAGATGCTGTCGTAGCGGGCCTCGTCCTCTTTTGCATGTCTGCGCTGCGCCAAGAGCGCTGCTACCTCGCGCGGCAGGGAAAAGTTCTGCTCCGTCTTCTCAATGTAGCCAGGCGCCGAGGTCAACATCTCGTTGGCTGCATCACTGATGCATCCCATCATGCCCGCATTGATCTGGTCTACGTTGCCCCCGTACTCCCATTGCTCGAACTGATTACGATGCTGAGACAAACTGTTCTCAACCTTCTCGATGAAAGCTTCTCTTCTGTAACCAAATAATAGCATGGCGTTGCAGGCCTCCGCGTTGGGCTTGCGCCCCTTCTGCGAGTGCTGTTGGTGCACGAAGGTGTGGAAGAAGGAGACCTGCAACGGGAAGTGGTCCTTGGCCGATGCACACCTGATGTGTTGCAGTCTCTGCCCTTTCCGCCGTGCTACCACGCATTCTTGCACATTGTCCAACGTGGCTCTTGGTAGAATTATGTAGTAGATTCTCTCCCTACAATCCTCTGCGATGCTAAGATACGTAACTCCAGCTTGAAAGAAAGTGTGCATTAAGAGTAGATCGTGCGCTTTAAGAACTGGTTTGATGATACCATAATTCATATCATATTTGTCTGGTTCTGCTGCTCCAGCGACTGGTTGTTCTGTCGGATCCGCCGCGCACGTGGAATTCAAGTCCGCGCCGATGACGGGGATGCATTGCGATGGCAGCTTGCACAACTGTCCATGAAACCATTATGTGAATTCATGCGATGACTGACGTTGAGTGGCGGCGGCTCCTCGTCCCTTTCCCCGCGTGGGGTAGTAGAGAGAGAACGCTGCGAAGTCCTGTCTCCCCCTCCTATATCTGATGATGAGCCCTCGCCCCTGAAGCCGTCCTCCCGCTGCCTGCACTCCAATTACATACTGCGGCTGGTAACGTTTGATGCTCACGCCAATGGATACACCACAAGACGAATTGGCACCCTTCGAATATCCAGCATGGAAAGAAAGATGGTGCAACGTCGTACTTCTCGACGGTGCACCTCGATACCTCAGGCCCGTGCCTTGAAGGCAGACTATGTCGGCCTGTCTGCACTCGTCGCTGATGTCAATCAGGCGGCCTGGCGGCGCGGCGGTGAGGGGATTGTAGCTGATGACCCGAAGAAGTCGCCAACCGCCGCCGCCCCCTTCTCCTGGCCCTGCCATCTTGCCTGCATGAGACTGGATGGAGGGGTCGGCTGAGTGTGGGGGGAGATCAGCTGCCTGGAGTCGCTCAATGGAAAGGGGCAGCTGAAAGGAGGGAGGAGGAGGAGGAGGAGGAGGAGGAGAAGGAGGAGACGCGGGGACCGTCTCTTCAAAACGAGGACCCAACAACACAGGTTGTCTGGGGAAAAATGCTCCAAGGTGCCCAAACAAAACTCAACAAAAATACCCCCAGACTATTGAATGAGTATTTTTGAATATTCCTCCTGTAGGGGGACGGGCCCGACTTAACCCTACCCCACCCCCCACGATTTCCAAAGGAAGGTGGGGGTTCACTCCGCTCTGGAGCTCCTGGACGAAGTGAACCCCCACCCCCACCCAGAAATCGTGGGGTGGTGGGGATAGGGTTCACGTGTGGCCACCGACCCAAGGCCCCCGCGGTCCCGCGTGACCCGTGGAGGGCTCTGAGTCTGCCACGTTGCCTTCAGCACGTGGTGGAATGCCCCAAGGCTCATGCAGCATTGCAGCCCGAAGAGACAGAGGGGCTGTAAAGTTCTGAATGACTGGGACCCTAGTTTCCCGGCCGCTCCCAGGATTTCCCGGGAGCTCTTGGGAGCTCCTGGGAGCTACTGAGAGCTCCTGGGGGCTCCCTAGAGCTCCTCGGACGGCCTAAGATGACCTCCCGAACCCTTGAGAGCGTCTCAAGAACCGCCTCAGATGGCCAAAGAGGGCCCCGAAGCGGTCCAAGACAACTTCAAGCTGGCCCATTGTGGCCACAAGACGGCCCAAAGGACTCACACGACGCCTCAAGAGAGCCGTGAGAGCACCCCAAGAGGCAAACATCCCCCGACGCCCAGAGGAATACATATACTTTTGACATCTTTGCCTTTTGGGCTTCCACAGAGTCCAAGACCGCCCAGGAAGCCCCCAAGATCGCCCCAAGGCGCCCCAAGAGGCCCCCAAGAGGGCCCCAAGACAGCTCAAGATCACCCCAAGACAACACAAGAGGCGCCCAAGACGGTCTAAGAGGGCCCCAACAGGGCCCAAGATGAGCCTAAGATGGGGAACTCGATTCCCAAGATCCCTAAGAGGCCCCAAGAGGCGCCTTAGAGGCCCAGAAGAAGCCCAAAGAGGCCCCCAAACGGCCCTCATAAGGCCCCCAAAGGCTTCAAACCTGCCTACAGAGACTCCGCAGAGGCTTCCCGAGAGACCCTGACAAGCATCCAAGATGCCACTGACCCACAGCCCTAGCACAATGGCGGGATGGGCCGAAGGCCACTAGATCCCCATCTCACAGCCGCGTGTGCGACGGCATCCGGCTGCGCGCCCTCGCAAGCGCGGCTTGCAGCACTCGAGAACCAACTGCAGGCCGGGCTCGACCGCCGGACCTCCGCTAAGCGCAGGCGTTCCTCGTCCCAGGCTGCCTGGGGTGCTGTCCGACAACGGCAGCGCGCCGCCGCCGCCTCCTCCACTGCGCTGTCGTCCGTCTCGGCGGCCGCCAGCACCGCCAAGCAGGCGCGCCCGCTGCGCCGCTGCAGCCCCAAATTTGGGACTCGGCTGCATGATGGGCCTGGCCTTTTTTCCACCGCCACCACCACAAGTCGGAAGGGGGAAGGAGCTGGAGGATGAGGAAGACGAGGGGGAGGAGGACCCCCTCCCCCCTCCAACTTCTGGCGGTGGTGGTGGTGGTGGTGGACAACCCGTCCGTCACTGCAGGCCCACGCCTGGCACGCTCGCCACGGGGTGCGGCTGCCGCTCTCGGCGAGGCCAGCCTGCCCATAGAGCGAACTTCCCCGGTCATCACCTCGCGCTCCCGCCACGGGCACTTCCGCGGGAAGTTGCCTTCCGCCCGCCCGTGGCTCACCGCACAGCTGCGCTGCACTGTGGACTGCCCGTCGCGGCTCGCTCTCGAGTCGTGCGCTCCTCCGTCGGCCACGCGCCCGGAGCGCCTGGGCGCTGTCGTTTTGAGGGCTATGGTCCAGGGCCCCGCGAGGGGTAGAGCGCGCGCGTCGCTTGCAGCCTGGCGTTCGGACACGCGTGTCCGCACTCGGTGCGTGTTTCTCTCTCTCTCTCTCTCCCTCCCTTCTCCCTCCCTCCCTCCTTCTCTCTTTCTCTCTCTCCCTCTCACTCTCTCTCTCTCTATCACACTCTCTCTCACTCTCTCTTTCTTTTTCTCTCTCTCTCTCTCTCTCTCTCTCTCTCTCTCTCTCCCCCCCGTCAGTCTCGAGGTTCCCTCCCTCCCGCCTCCTTCCCTCCTCTCTCCCTCTGGCCCTCCACGTGCGTCAACGGCCCAAAAGCACGGCAGAGTGACAAAGAGTGCGCGTCCGCGAGGCCCCTCGGCAAGCAAGCTCTCTTTCCCTCCTCCCTACCTCACGTTCCCTCCCCCATGTTTTTTGTTCTCCTCGTCCTCCACCTCATCCTAAGTACTACATCCGTTTCCCTCCTCCTCCTCCTCCTCCTCCTCCTCCTCCTGAATGCTCATGATCTTCCCTCGGCGTTCGGTCTTCTCTCCCTGCCCTCTCCCTTCTATCTCTCCCCGCCCTCCCTTGTACTTGTTCTCCTTCCTCTCTCTCCCTCTCTCTCGCCCTCTCGCGCCCTCTCTCTATCCCTCTCTCTCTATCTCTCTCTGTCTCTCTCAATTCTCTGCACAATGTACAGAAGTGTATGATATGTGTGCCAGTTTCTGCATTTATGTGTTTATTGTTATTTTTCTTTTTTTGGTTTCTCTCTCTCTCTCTCTATATATATATATGTACTAGAACCACGCGCGCGCTTCGCGCGCGCTTAGGTTCTAGCGCAGGCCAGGGAAGAATTACAACATATTGGGATCCTCTTGGTAGAGCAAATTGTTCAAGCCTTTTTTGGGTTCTGAGAGACTGGAGAGGCGAGAACGCGTAAACATCACAAAACCACACAGAATGGCATGATTGGGCCTTCTTGGCGGCGCTCTTGGGATCTTTTGGGGCTCTTATGGGGCCCTCGAAGGCCGTCCCGGAGCGCTATTGGGCAGACTTGGGAGGCCGGGGCCGTCTTGGGGCTCTCCTGGGGCCCTGTTGGGCCCTCTTGGGGGTCTCCTGTGGCTCGCGCAGGGCTCTCTTGGGAGCCTTTTGGGCCCTTTGAGGCCGCTCTTGGGCCGTCATGGGGATCTCTTGGGCCGTCTTGGTGCTCTCTTGGGCCGTTTTGGGGCCCTCTTGGGGCCTCCGGGGCCGACTTGGGAGGATCTAGGTGGGGCTTCTTGGGACGTCTTGGACGTTCTCGAGACCAAACAAGCGAATATGCTAAAAATGTAAGTTTTCCAAAGGGAATGTGCCGATTTTTGCTTCGTGGGGGTCCTCGTTGGGGCCTCTTGGGGCGTTTTCGGGGCCTCCTGGGCCGTCTTGAAACCATCTAGGGCACTGGGAAATCATCTTGAGCAGTCCTGGGGACCCTTTGTGGCGCTTTCGGGTGCTCTTGGCAACCTCGTTGGGCCGTCTGGAAGCCATCGTGGGCGCTCTTGGAACGTCCCAAGGGCTGTCTTGAGCGGCCGGGGAGCGGCCGAGGAGGCCCCAGGGGGGGGGGGACCCAGATTGGGGGTTCGAGGCCGTGGTTTCCGGGCCCCGATTTCCTTCCCTGGGTAGATGTATATGTGTACACAGACACATAGGTGTTATATGGGGTGAAAGCTATGCGATGTAAACTATATTGTGTAGTGTATGCGGTGCAAGTCTGTGGTGGAAGCTATGCGGTGTATGTGATTTGGTGAAAGCTGCGTCAGGCGAGCTCAGATGGGACGCGCAGGGACATACTAAGGGTCGGCGCAGATTAGCGACGGCAGGTCACGGTGTGACAGAGCCGCCCGCACGCCGGCATAGTTACACTACGTCGGCACCCTCAGCCCCCGCGCGGCGGCCCGCTCACCCGCGCCGCGCCTGCCACTCTTCCCATTCTGCCTCGGTGAAGGGAGCTGGAACCCCCACCGGAGGATCGGCGACGTGGGCATTCGGCTCCCTCCCCGCGCGCAGGTTCAGCAGGCGCCACGGCTGCCCGGGGCGGCCAAGGCACTCGCCACGGAGGCCCGCCAGGCGGCGCTGTGCGTGCTGGCCGCATCGCTGGCACCAGATCCACGTCGACGTCCTCCACAGTCGATGGCCGTTGGAGACAGCGCCGGCCGTCGTGAACACAATGGGGAGGTTCGCGGCAACGTGCCCTCTGCAGCATTCGTCCCGCAGCACTTGCAGCGGCGCCCGGCGGTGGCATCTCACGCACTCCCACCGGCCACCCGGCCGACGCTGAATGTCGTGGGCCTGAGCCGGGCCGGGCACGAGCTGGATTGAGGGCCGGGCGCCCTGGCGAGACTTCGGCAGTTCCTGGACATCAGGCCACCGGGAGTGCTCGTCCAAGACCTGCGTGGTGAGCTCCGCCTGGTAGTTCAACACGTAGTGGATATTCTCCGCTGCTGCGTTGCAGGCATCGTCGACATACTGCAGCATGACGTTGGTGCCGCATTCAGCTCCGCGGCCCGCGCGCTCGTCCGCCGCCTTGTTCACCTGGGCGATGCGCTGCCGTTCGCAATCCAGCGTCGCCACAACGGCCGCGGAACGATGGGCCTTCACCTTGCGGAGCTGCACGCCGCTGGGGCCCAGACCGATGTCCCGCAGCCTCGCCCATACTTGTCGCCACAGGTCTGCGTTCGGGCGACGCGAGGCGGTGCACCACCGCTCACCAGCGGCCACTCCATCAAGGACAGACTGCCTGTCGACATGCAGGACCAGCGGTGGGAGGGCATGCGCCAGGGCGCGTTCGATGGCCTGCAACTCGGCCCGGTCAATGTTCCAGTGCACGGGCAAGCTCTGAGGCAGCGGTCCCCACCCTGCCACTTGAACGACGGCGCCCTCGGGGTCCATCATCACGGCTGCCCAGCCCCCTCGGCCGAGCCACTTCCAGCGCCCCTTCAAGCTGCCATCGGTGCCGCCGTCCCCCGTGAGGCAGCAGTCCTCCCCTTCCCAATGCTCCTCGAGGGCCTGGGCCTCGAAGGGTCGGCGAAGACCTGGATGAGGGAGCAGCGCCCGGTCCCACAGCCATCGGTCGCTGCTGGTGGCCATCATGTGCTGCCAGCGCGGCGGGAGCGCCTCCCGGTGGCGCCGCAGACCAGGGCAGCAGGCCCAACGGTGCTTCGGCGTGCCGGCAACCTCGCGCCCGTCAGCTAAGCAAAGCTGGCACCAAGGCAACGTCGCGGCTCCTGCTTGCCAAGCCCTGCTCTGCGTCCACGCCCCAGCGGAGACGCTCCGGGCAGCAGCAGACGCACCTGCGCACCAACGGCGCCGCCAACGCCGGAACCACTTCTGGAGGGCTTCGGCAAAGGGGGCAGGAGCAAGCGCCGCCCGACCAGTCCTCGGCGACCCACGCCTCCCACTGCTGCAGCTCCGCGTCGCGCTCCGCCATGGCCTGGACATCCCGGGGACACACCACGGCCATGTCGATGATGTGGCCCTCCCTGCTCACGAAAGTGCGCCAGGACGGCCACGTCCATCCCAAGCGACGAGCAGCCAGCACGCATCAGGAGGCGGGCCCCATCTGAGCTGACTGCGACTCGTCGTGCAGCAGCCGGATCTGCTGCCGCTTCCAAGCCTCCGACATGGTGGAAGACAGGCCTGGGTGGTCCCACACGTGCTCGGCCCAGGCTGCGATCGGAGCTGACGTGAGGGCGGGGCCAGGGTCCTCGCCGAAGCACGCCAGCCTGAGCGTCGTCGAACGATGCCTCGAACGACCTGGAAGCGCTGCGTTCACGGTGCTCTGGAGTTGGGCGACCTCCTGGGGAGTGAGGCCAATTGCCCTGTGCCCGTAAGTATGTTGGGGTGACGCCGATCAGAGCTCGGAGCGCCCACGCGGCGCACACGAGGAGGCACGGGCGGGGACGTGGCAGAATCTCGGCATGTTCTCCCAGCGGAAGCAGCCCACGAGGCAGCACGGGCCGCAGCGTGGCGAGAACCCGGCATACCGACCAGCTGCCTCAGCGAAGAGCAGCAAGAACCCTCAGTGCGAGCACTGTGGAAACAGAAGAGCAAGAGCAAATGGAAGGCACACACAACCAGATAGAGAGAGAAAGAGAGAAAGACAGAGAGAGAGAAGACAAAAGAGAGAGAGGGAGAGGAGGGAATGAGAGGAGGAAGATACGAAGACCGGGAGGAAGCGGAGAAGAAGAGACCGAGAGAGATAGGGAGGACATGAGAGACGAAGCGGAAACGGGGAGGAATATACAAAACCGAGAGAGATAGGGAGGGAATGAGAGGAGGAGGATGAAGGGGATATACATATAGGGAACGGGATGGAGCGAGAAGAGCGTGAGTGGAGAGGGGGGACGGGGGAAGAGGAAGGGGCGTGAAGGGAACGAGGGAGAATTGGAGACAAAGGGATAGGAAGGGACCACGGACAGAGGTCAAAGCGCGCGCAGAAACGTGGGGCGAACTCGAACTCTGGCGCGCGCGCAGCGGTCGCGCGGCAGCGGCGGTGCTCCATGTGCAAGCTGGTCATGTGCCGGGCCAGCTCGAAATCGCGGTCCGGGTCGCGCACGTCCCTGGCCACGGGCACAGGGGCCCAGGGGGGGGAGGCCCGAGCGAAGTGAACCCCACCCTCCCCCTCAGAAATCGTGGGGGGTAGGGGTACGGTTCGCATGTGGCCCCCTAAAGAGGGCGAGGGGGGCAAACGATCGTGCGAGCGTGCTGCGGGCCTGGCGATGGCCGATCCTGCGATCGGGCCGGAGCAGCAGTGAGCCTGCAAGAAATGGGACGTGCGCCGTTGTCGGGCCCCTGGGCCCGCCACGGGCCCCAAGGGCATCAAACACACAACAGCTCGGGATGGAAGAAATCGTAACCAAACCACACACGAACAACTGTAACCCCAATAGATCAAACCTAGCACCCTAACCTTTACCATAACAGAGTAGACATGAGCAACAACCTGTGATTCACACCCCAACCAAAACACCTCAACGTCAACACCCGAAGTCCAACTCTGGCACCCCAACGCAAACACCTGAACCATAAGCCCTAACCCGAGCCTCGCACATCCGAGCACTCATACACTGGCCCTAACACGATATCCGTAACACCCAAAACCTGGCACTCGGACCATAGCCAAACATCAGAAACCCAACACCCGAACTGTGTGAGCACGAGCCCTGGTCCTGAGATCCCAACGCTAAGTGTCTAATCATATAATTATACAACCCTTCTGCGCGCATCCGACTGGTCCCAGACCGGGCCCGAACCGATCCCCGGGCGCGATCCACTGCAAACAAACGGGACCTGGCGCACATCGGCTGATCGTTAGATCGCCTCATCTAGATCCAAATGAATACCTACAGTATTACGGCGTGGACACACACTTTCTGATTCTCACAAGTACCCCACGCATGCGATCCCAACCCCCCAACAAAATTAGCCTGACGAAAGACCCAACCATATGCAGGTGTGAGCACCGCAAATGTGATACACTTTTTCGGTGGGGGAACCGCATGCGGACTGCGCTACGGGGACCTTCGGTGGAGCTCCATGTGGGGCCACGAAGCGCTGTACTGGGTGAGGGAGAAGCATGCGGACTGCGCCACGGAAACCTCCGGTGGGCTCCATATGTGGATACGAAACGCTGTACTGGGTGAGGGAGACGCATGCGGACGGCGCCACGGGGACCTTCGGTGGAGTTTCTTAATGGGCCACGAAAAGTGTGAAGGGGGGGCCGAAATGAGTGGCGGGGACGCATGCGGACTGTGCCACGGGGACCTTCGGCGGAGCTCCTATGGGGCCACGAAGCGTGTGAGAAGTGTGCCGAAATGAGTGGCGGGGACGCATGCGGACTGTGCCACGGGGACCTTCGGCGGAGCCCTTTATGGGGCCACGAAAAGTGTGAAGGGGGGGCGGGAATGAATGGCGGGGACGCATGCGGACTGTGCCACTGGGACCTTCGGCGGAGCTCTTATGGGGCCACGAAACGTGTGAGGGGTGTGCCGACATGAGTGGCGGGGACGCATGCGGACTGTGCCACTGGGACCTTCGGCGGAGCTCCTATGGGGCCACGAAGCGTGTGAGGTGTGGGCCGAAATGAATGGCGGGGACGCATGCGGACTGTGCCAGTTGGACCTTCGGCGGAGCCATTATGGGGCCACGAAGCGTGTCAGAGGTGGGCCGACATGAATCGGGGGCACGCATGCGGATTTTGCCACTAAGACCTCCGGCGGAGCTCTTATTGGGCCACGAAACGTGTGAGGGGTGGGCCGACATAAGTAGCGGGGACGAACGCGGACTGTGCCATTGGGACTTTCGGCGGGGCCCCTATGGGGCCACGAGACGTGTGAGGGGTGTGCCGAAATGAATGGCGGGGACGCATGCGGACTGTACCACGGAGACCTTCGGCGGAGCTCCTGTGGGGCCACGAAACGCGTGAGGGGTGGGCCGACATGAATGGCGGGGACGCATGCGGACTGTGCCACTGGGACCTTCGGCGGAACTCCTATGGGGCCACGAAGCGTGTGAACGGTGGGCCGAGATGAATGGCGGGGACGCATGCGGACTGTGCCAGTGGGACCTTCGGCGGAGCTCCTATGGGGCCACGAAACGTGTGAGGGGCGTGCCGAAATGAGTGGCGGGGACGCATGCGGACTGTGCCACGGGGACCTTCGGCGGAACTCCTATGGGGCCACGAAACGTGTGAGGGGCGGGCCGACATGAATGGCGGGGACGCATGCGGACTGTGCCACTGGGACCTTCGGCGGAGCTCCTATGGGGGCACGGAACGTGTGGACGCATGCGGACTGTGCCAGTGGGACCTTCGGCGGAGCTCCTATGGGGCCACGAAACGTGTGAGGGGTGTGCCGACATGAGTGGCGGGGACGCATGCGGACTGTGCCACTGGGACATTCGGCGGGGCCCCTATGGGGCCACGAAGCGTGGGAGGGGTGTGCCGAAATGAATGGCGGGGACGCATGCGGACTGTGCCACTGGGACCTTCGGCGGGGCCCCTATGGGGCCACGAAGCGCTGTACTGGGTGGGGGAGACGCATGCGGACTGCGCCACGGGGGCCTTCGGTGGGGCTCCATTTGGTGCCACGACACGCTGTACTTGGTGACGGAAACGCATGCGGACTGCGCCACTGGGGGGGGATGCATGCGGTCGGCGCCACGGGACCTTCGGGGCCACGAAACGCTGTACTGGGTGGGGGAGACGCATGCGGACTGCGCCACGGGGACCTTCGGTGGGGCTCCATATTGGGCCTCGAAGCGTTGTACTGGGTGGGGGAGACGCATGCGGAATGCGCCGCGGGGGCTTTCGGTGGGGCTCCATATGGAGCCACGAAACGCTGTACTGGGTGGGGGAGACGCATGCAGACTGCGCCACGGCGAGGGGCTCCATATGGGGCCACGAAACGCTGTACTGGGTAAAGGAGACGCATGCGGACTGCGCAACGGGGGCCTTCGGCAGAGCCCCTTTATGGGGCCACGAAGCGTTGTACTGGGTGGGGGAGGCGCATGCGGACTGCGCCACGGGGACCGTCGGTGGGCGACCGGTTGTTACTGTGGCCCGTTGGGTGTTAGTGTGGCCCGTTGGGTGTTAGTGTGGCTCGTCGCGCGGTGGGATGGGAGTTACTGTGGCCCGCGCAGGCCGCTCAATGAAAAGTAATATGTAAAGGTATCTCATGTTAGATCTGGAGAGATACGCAACCCTTAAGGGAACGCACTCCCGCGCAGGCAAAAGTGGCCACAGTAACTCCCACATGGAACCAACGTGGTAGTAGTGCTGTGTTACTGGTGTGGTGGTCGCTGTGCTGTGTTAGTGGTGTGGTGTTGATAATGTTGTGTGAGTGGTGTGTTGGTAGTGGCTGGTTGTGCTGTATGCTGTGTTAGTGGTGTGGTGTTGGTAGTGGTGTGCTGTGTTAGTGGTGTGGTGTTGGTAGTGTTGTGTTAGTGGGTAGTAGTGTTGTGGTAGTGGCAGTGGTGCTGTGGTAGTGGTGTTGTGGTAACGGTGCTGTGGTTGTGGTATTGTGGTAGCGGTGTAGTGGTGTTGTGGTAGCGGTGTTGTGTTGTGGTACTGGTATTGTGGTAGTAGTGCTGTAGTGTGGTAGTACTATGGTGCTGTAGTGTTGGTGTTAGGTAAGATCGTCCATAGGGAGTACTAGACCTACGGAGTACTAGTCGCAGGGAGTGCTAGCCCCAGGTAGTACCAGACCTAGGAATTACTACCCCTAGGGCGTACTCGTCCAAGGGAGTACTCGTCCTAGGGAGTACTCGCACTACGGAGTACCAGCCCTAGGGAATACTACTCCTAGGGAGTGCTAGTCCGAGGGAGTGCCAGGAAGTACTGTCGCTGGGGAGTGCTAGCCCTAGAAAGTACTGGCGCTAGGGAGTGCTAGCCCTAGGGCGCTAGGGACGACGAGAGTAGTAGTAGTAGTAGTAGTAGTAGTAGTAGTAGTAGTAGTAGTAGTAGTAGTAGTAGTAGTAGTAGTAGTAGTAGTAGTAGTAGTAGTAGTAGTAGTAGTAGTAGTAGTAGTAGTAGTAGTAGTAGTAGTAGTAGTAGTAGTAGTAGTAGTAGTAGTAGTAGTAGTAAGTAGTAGTAGTAGTAGTAGTAGTAGTAGTAGTAGTAGTAGGTAGTAGTAGTAGTAGTAGTAGCAGCAGTAGCAGTAGTAGTAGTAGTACTACTAGTAGTAGTAGTAGTAGTAGTAGTAGTAGTAGTAGTAGTAGTAGTAGTAGTCGTAGTAGTAGTAGTAGTAGTAGTAGTAGTAGTAGTAGTAGTAGTAGTAGTAGTAGTAGTAGTAGTAGTAGTAGTAGTCGTAGTAGTAGTACTTGTAGTAGTAGTAGTAGTAGCAGTAGTAGTCGTGGTAGCCATAGTCGTAGTCGTAGTCGCAGTCGTAGTAATAATAGTAGTAGTAGTAGTAGTAGTAGTAGTAGTAGTAGTAGTAGTAGTAGTGGTAGTGGTAGTAGTAGCAGTAGTAGTAGTCGTCGTAGTAGTAGTAGTAGTAGTAGTAGTAGTAGTAGTAGTAGTAGTAGTAGAAGTAGTAGTAGCAGTAGTGGTAGTAGTAGAAGTAGCAGTAGTAGTAGAGTAGTCGTAGTCGTAGTCGTAGTCGTGGTCGTGGTCGTAGTCGTAGTCGTAGTCGAAGTAGTAGTAGTAGTAGTAGTAGTAGTAGTCGTCGTCGTCGTCGTCGTCGTCGTCGTCGTCGTCGTCGTCGTCATATTTCGGAGAGCCCAAGACGCTCTTCGGAGAGCCCAAGAAGCGCTTCGGATGCCGCAAGAAACTCTTCGGAAGCCCCACGAGGCTCTTCGGAGAGCCCAAGAGTCTCTTAGCCGGCTGCAAGAAGGTCTTCGGCGGCTCCAAGAGGCTCTTCGGAGAGCACCAGAGGCTCTTCCGAGAGGCTCTTCGGTGAAGGGGGGGGGGAGGCGGAGCTTTTTTGGCCCCCCCCTCTTCACCGTACTCGATAATTAATACACTCCGGAGGACCCCTGGCCATGCTAACACCCACCGGGCCGCAGTAACAACCAACGGGCCGCAGTAACACCTTATCTCCCTTCGGTGGGGCTCCATATGGGG